AAAAATAATTTTCTTAATATTAAATACAGTAAGTCTAATCATAATGAGTGATAATATATATATTATCTATAATATAGATAGGTAGACTTTTGACATGTATCAATTTATAGGATTAAGTGAACATGAAAATATATCAACTATATTGTTTTGGAAATAAATATCATTGTATCATAAATATCTATATTTTTCAAAATAAAGTGAAGGTTTCAATTTGAAGTTACAGAATAGGTTAACTCACACGCACTATTAAATATAAAATTCTGTTAGCAGAATAAGTTAAGACATCTTATTACTATTTCACCCCTATTTTTCAAAGTAGCTTAATACAGCATAACATAAGGCCTTCATTTGAAATTCTTTTCTACTCTAGCATATTTTTTTAAATAAAATGCTCTTTTCATTTTTCTACATTTTTTATAAAAATTTTCCAACACATAGAAAAGTTGAAAGAATTGTACTGTGAACACCCAGATCACTCTAACATAGTTTTAATTGTTCCATTTTCACCATCTTTTTATTGATGTTGTTCCCCTGCCTTAATTGATATTAAAAGGAAGAAATTAGAAAATCCATTTTCTCTCCCCTCCTCATCTTCTCACTCTTCCTCCCCTGTCTTTTCTGTCATCTAATTCAACATCTGTAAGTCTCCATTGATTCTTTTTTTACTTCCCATAGTTACGAAAAACTTTTCCACTTTAGGCACTGCTGAACCTCTGATACTATTATGAGTCACTCTTCTTCACTGGGGCTGTACCCATGAAGTATGTCATGCAGTTTAGAATGGAAATTCCCTTTGTCTCAGGTATTCGTTACCCACTAGTCACAGGTGTGCATGCTTGCCATAAAACATGAGATTTGGGCATGGTCTGGCAACCCTATCAGATAGGAAAATTTCCTATTTCAACCTGATATTTACCTGTATTTAATTAGGTTGATTATAAATCATTTCTGATTATGCTTAGAGTAATGGTAGTGCATACTTTTTGGAATTTGTCTCTTGAAAAATGAAATAGATATGGTGATTGCATCTAATAATGTTTTCCTGTTACAGGGCAAATAATAGTGGTGATTTGGGTAATAGTTTCTCCAAATAATGACAAACAGAAGTATACTCTGAAAATCAACCATGATTGTGTGCCAGAACAAGTAATTGCTGAAGCAATCAGGAAAAAAACTCGAAGTATGTTACTGTCCTCCGAACAACTAAAACTCTGTGTTTTAGAATATCAGGGCAAGTATATTTTAAAAGTGTGTGGATGTGATGAATACTTCTTAGAAAAATATCCCCTGAGTCAGTATAAGGTGAGTGACAAGTTTCAAGAACATTTATTTTAAATTTACGAAGTAATCATGTTAAGGACTAGTATCTGTATTTTTAGGACATCCTTTTTGAAAATTAAATAATATTAATAAGTAGCATTTGTAAGTTTTTTTTTAATACTGTAATTATTTAATTTGAGAGACTAAAATGTTGGCAGTTACACTAACCCCAAAATATGGGGTATTTTATGATTTTTATCCCTTTCCAAGCAATAGCATTGGAATGGAATTCAAGTAGACATTTCAAAAAATTCAGGATCTACTGTTAAGATGTACTATTGATACTTTACTACTCTTTTTCTATTTATTAAATAAATACCTATAGAAAGCAACTATGTTTGTTCCAATCATAAGCCAAGTATTGATTTACACTACCAGCCAAAACGTGGTCCTAGCCTTTAGGTTGCTTATGGTCTAATGGGGCTTATGGGTAAGAAAATAGGCTATTTTAATCTGTATACAGTAGCATTTATATTAAAACTATCCTAATTACCATTTCAAAATTCAGATCAATGCATTTTAATTTTATAAAAATATGTCCATAATTTTATCAGTCTTCTCTATTTGTGGTTTTTGTTTTGTTTATTTTTTAACAAAACAAATGTTTCTCAGGAAGTGTTTGGATAGCAGAGCAAGTGGGCAGCAACTCTTAGGTGGGATATCAATGTGACTTAGTAGATTGAATGACAGGCTTACTAAAATGATGTTGCTTTTCTATTAACAAGTTTAATTTTTTCATACTGAGTATTCTCTGATCTTTGTTTTTAATTCCTTTTTTTCTTTTTTCTGTTTACTTCTGGTTAAGGGTAGAACTATAGTGTCAAACAGTAGAACTATAATGTTAAAAGCTGACCGTATTTTTTTATATATATACAATTTACATTCAGAGGTATTTGGTTGATCCTGTGCTATAACCTAACTCTCAAATGTCAGTATTTTAAATGTTATAAATATAGCAACTGCTAAGAAATGTGGTCTATAATGTTTGATTTTTTATCACCTTTGCAGATTAGTATGTAAATTCTCAAAATACTCTTACATGTTGCTTTTAATATGAAAAACCTTACAGTAAATGGCTTCTCTTCTCCTTCCTTAATCTCTTACAGTATATAAGAAGCTGTATAATGCTTGGGAGGATGCCCAATTTGATGCTGATGGCTAAAGAAAGCCTTTATTCTCAATTGCCAATGGATTGTTTTACAATGCCATCATATTCCAGACGCATCTCCACAGCTACACCATATATGAATGGCGAAACATCAACAAAATCCCTTTGGGTTATAAATAGTGCACTGAGAATAAAAATTCTTTGTGCAACCTACGTGAATGTAAATATTCGAGACATTGATAAGGTAAGGTCAAATGCTGACTCTTATTATTTCATATAAATTATTTTAATATAAACCTTTTTAATTGAACTATACAATAATCTGTTGACCTGTAGTATGTTTTCAGATGGCTAGAAAAACACCCACATCTCGGAAAATAAAAATATATAATGAATTCTGTTGAGTTTTCATTTGCCTCAGCTGTTACACAGCTCACAGTCCTTTGTCTGAATTTTAATATCTGTAATTCTAATATTCATGTAATTCTAATAACCATAATTCTAAACTCTTAAAACCAGAAGTTTTAACAGAATTCATTTAGTAGCAAACCTAAACCTGAATTTAGGCTTTTTATAATCTTTATTAATTCCACTTAATGTAAACAGTCATATGTCTTGTTACAGAAATATTAGTGTCTTTATGGGGTACTGCTTCAGCTTCTAAGAGTTTTAAGGAATATTTAGTATATGTATCAATGTATCTTTCTAAAATATGAGAAACTCTGAATTGCATACCTGGTTTAAAGGCATTTGGGGCCTATGTTAATTTTTTAGTAGTCTGATGTCCCCATCATTATTAATGAATGAAGGGAGCAACAGATTTTGGTGAAGAATCCGCATCATTATTGACTTACTATATATGTGAAGAAAAGGGGAATAGAAAAGCTGTATCTGAACAAAAATGTTTTATTGGCTCTCTCATTCATATCAGTTACATTATTTTATTCATATTTGGTTCTATCTAGTGTGCATGTACATATGTGTGTTTCTGAGTGTATATATTTGTATACAAATAATTTTTTTTTTTTTAAAGATCTATGTTCGAACAGGTATCTACCATGGAGGGGAACCCTTATGTGACAATGTGAACACTCAAAGAGTACCTTGTTCCAATCCCAGGTAAGTAGGTATATGGATTTATATTTCCAAAGGTCATATTAGTGTGTAGCAATGTGATCAATAAAAGTAGTATATTTTACATTATTAGTTTTGTGCAAGTTATATAAATTATCATTTACATATAGAACATAAGGACTTTCTGTCAAATGATTATCAATCACAAGATTATTCGATTGATTCTCTCTAGAATTTTAATAGATGAGTTTTTCTGATTCTCTCTACCCATTCTATCAAAGAGAGAACAGAATATGGTTACAGTTTTGTGCTGCTGATTCCTCACATTAGGTCAGAAACCTAGCATTTTATTATTTACTTATCCTCATTTATGTGAAGGAGAAGTAAGAGCTGGCAAACAACTCCAGAGCCAAATTACTTTGAGGCATTTTCCTTCACATCACTCCCCAAAATAGATATTATGGCATTCATATAAATGATCTTTGGGAACAAATCAATTTCTTAGGGAGAGGAGATTATTGGAAACATTTTAAATTTAAATTATTACTGCCTAGATGTGATGAAGAAATAAAAAGCAATATAATCTAGTAGCTTCCCATCCAGCTATTTCTTTGCCTCTCTCTACAGAATCATTTGGGAATAAGAGTCTATCCCTGAATATAAATAGCAGTAATATTTTAAGGGAACTCAAATTGGTATTGAAGATTGAAGATGGAGTTTACAGAATAGCAATAGAGCTCACTAGTCCATTTTCCAGAAGTAAATCTCATAATGAATTTAAACTGAGTTCTAGGAGAGTTAAGAAAAAGTTCTGGTCTTGTAGTTAAGCTGCTAGAAGCAGCCACCCTTCTAGAACTTAGGTAAAGTTCAAAGAGATGGCAGCCTTCTCCACCAGGAGGAAGAGAGAGTTTCTCACCCTACTTGAACCACTGTAGATCAGAAAGTATATAATTCTGATTAGAATTTAAGCCATGGCAACAAACAACTTCAGGATCTTTTTAAATCTTTGCTAAAACAACAGTTTATTTCTTACTTATACTGTATCTCTGTCACGTGTTAGGCGAGGTGGTTGTGGGAAGAGCAGAAAAACAATATTTGAGAAAATAACGGTCAGAATTTTTTCAAATTAGGTGAAAACTATAAGCTGACCAATTCAATGAGCCCCAAGCAAAGAACCCAAAATAATATTGGGTAGATATATCCTTGTTGTTTCAAGTAGCATAAGTAAAGTAGCTTTATAAAAGTAAAAGGTAAATTTATTTAATAATATATGATTAAAGTGTTGAAATTTTAGTAAATTAAAGTAGCTATTTAGAAAGGACTGTATTTGATTATCTTTTCTTCAAGAATTCTCTAATATAAAAAGTGAAATCCTATGGTAGTAGTATGAAGATTTAAGTAAATTTTTCTAACATTTTTGTGTTTACAAAACAAAGAATCAGAGATAAATGAATATGAAGTTAAAAAGATAGAGAAGTAGATTTTAAAAATTCTTATTGAGATTGTTTGTTCCAAATCTGTTTCCTATATACTAGATAAATTAGATACTTTTGATTTCTTCATAAATGTTACCAGTTATCTCCCAAAATCAGAATCAATTTGAACTATACATATAAAACAATTTCCTAAAAATAAAGAACTTAATTTTTTAGAGGTGTGTGTGGGTGTGTGTGTCGTGGAATGTATGGACTTTAGAAGAAGAGAGAAACATGCTTTATTCTGTTAGTATAGTGCTTAACAACTAGATTCATAGGACATAGCTCTCTTAGAAAGTATGTAGTAGAACACTTCCCATTAATTTATGAGCAATTGTAAAGATTTAGAAGTAATATAAAGTCTTAGGTACATTTAAGTAGATGTATCTTTAATTTTTCTTAAATTACTGTGAACTTATTAAATTCCACAGCATTTCTTCCCCTTACATTTCTATAATAGTATTTATTGTTTCTTTTATCTATGAATTTCTTGCCAAATTTTCTCATTTTAGATGTCTTTCTTCTATTAATGGTCCATATATTTTTTAATTTTTTAAAATCTTTGTGTATACTTGAGCAAAGATACTAAAATAAATAGAATTTATTTTACTGATAAATTTTTTAGCTTAGTTTGACTAATTAAAAATAGAATTTTTATAACTTCTTATTGTTGATTAAGACTTGTTTTGGGGCCGGCCCAGTGGCGCTTGGGAACACGGCGGCGCTCCCGCCGAGGGTTCGGATCCCACATACAGACCGGCCGCTCACTGGCTGAGCTTGACTAATTAAAAATAGAATTTTTATAACTTCTTATTGTTGATTAAGACTTGTTTTGGGGCCGGCCCAGTGGCGCTTGGGAACACAGCGGCGCTCCCGCCGAGGGTTCGGATCCCACGTACAGACCGGCCGCTCACTGGCTGANAAAAAAAAAAAAAAAAAAAAAAAACTTGTTTTTTTTTTAAAGAATAGACCAGAATTAGGAAGAAGCCATTTGTTAAAGTTTTCAGATTTTTTTTTTTTGTCTTTTTTTGTGACCGGCAGCACCGCGCTCAGCCAGTGAGCGCACCGGCCATTCCTATGTAGGATCTGAACCCGCGGCGGGAGCGCTGTGCTCCCAGCGCCGCACTCTCCTGAGTGCGCCACGGGGTCGGCCCAAAGTTTTCAGATTTAATGACTAACACATGAGCTTTTCCCATGGGCCGGATACTGTTGTAATACTTTTACTTAAGTATCTCATTTAATTTTATGAGACAGAAACAACCTTACGAGGGTAGCTACTATTATTAGTCCCATTTCACAGAGAAGACAAAAGACAAAATCAGAGTTACACGTTTAGTGAAATAGTGGAAATAAGATTCTACTTCAGGCACTCTGACTTCTAAGTTCATACACTTTAACTATTGCTATAATGGTTTTTTGTTTAGTTTAGTTTTGTTTCTAAAAGATGACTGGTAAGGGGATCTTAACCCTTGACTTGGTGTTGTCAGCACCACACTTCCCCAAGTGAGCAAACTGGCCATCCCTATGTAGGGATCCGAACCCTTGGCCTTGGTGTTATCAACACCACACTCTCTCAAGTGAGCCACAGGCCAGCCCTGCTATAATGTTTTTTTAAAAAACAAAACTATGGGGGCCGGCCCGGTGGCGCACTGCTACAGTGCGCCGCTTGGGAGCGCAGCGGCGCTCCTGCCGAGGGTTCGGATCCCATGTA